AACCCCCAAAACCCCAAAACCCCAAAAGTGAGAATATAAAATTACTAGAGAAGCAACTAATAAAGTAATAAAGTTTTAATGGTTTATTTATAAATTGTAATTGCAAATATTTTCACACTTTTAATCTCTCTATCTACTGGTTAAGAGTGTCCTATCTTTGACTGCGATTATACAAATTCTCAATGTGCAATTAAGAAAAAACTATAAAATTCAGATCAATATCAAATAACCTTGAATTCTAAAGCATGCCGTGGTAATACAAAGTAAATTGTAAAGCCATTTTATAGCCGACTTGGAATGCTTCATCACAGAGGATTATGAGTCTTAATGCTTAAAAAAGATTGATAGAAGCCTTCCTACTATACTTTACCCAGGATATCAATGCTCCCAGTCAGGAAGTCTAGGCACTTGTGCATTTGGCTAGAGATAGTAAGCCTTAATTAATTCAATTAACATATTAAAGTTGCAATAATAATGCCTAGTGCCAAGGATTTTCTTTGTACAGTAAATGCAGACGATCATCAGATTGCCTATTTGGGCATTTTTGTAATTTCGGTTATTGTGTGCCCACACTTTCTATTGGATCTTCTTGTAATTCACATGAGGCCTGCGGAAGAGAAGGTCTTTGTGTATTCGGCGAGACAACATCTACATTAAGTGCTTTTGGTACTTGTATTGAAATGTTATCAGTAGATGCTGACACTACTATTATGAGGAAAATTTCAGACCAATACAGTAATAATCAAGAATTGTCTTATATCTTTTAGCTTATCAGAGTGACATTGACAAAGTATGTAGGACATACTGGGCTAAGCCTTTAAATGGGACATGTGGCAAGTAGTACACATCTACAAGAGCTGGTAAGCCTTGCCTTTCAGATGCAGATTGTCCAACCTCAGATTCAAATACCTTTGCAAGATGCAGATGTGGATTGTCTACAAAAGGACTAAAGTACTGTGACATTGAAGGGGGTGATGATTTATGGCTAGCTGCAGCAGCCTCTGTAAGTATATTATAATTACTTATTTAAAATACTAACTGCAGTTTTCATCGTATCAAGATCACTCTTTGAATTGCCACACTGCTGAAAGTTTTGGCCCTTGTCATGAACCAGCTCTTTATAAAGATTGGAAATGCAAAGAAATGAAAGCAGACCTGTACGTTTATTAGATTGATAACCCAATATGTCTAAATGACATGATGAAGTATCATCCAGTGTTTTCTGATTACAACGATCTATGCAATGCAAATCATTTAAGATTTGGAATATTGACTATTATTAGCTTGATAGGCTTGATTTCAGCTGTTTTATCAATATGAATAATGTATTATTGTTTGATTATAGATTAAAATAGGAAATATTTTTAAATTATAATAATCAAAATAATGAATTTTAGAAAAGACACAGTAACGTTGGCAGTTGTTCTAGCATTGCTTGGACTATCAGCAAATGCTATAGACTGGCAAAATTTGAAAATTCCTGGTTTCCAATAAACTAAGGTAAACAAAGTTTCGGGTCGTCCAGTAACTTAGTAGACTCCTGAACTCCCAGATGGTAAGTACTTCCTTCAAACAGCTTTCATTTATTATCTAAATAATCTATCCTAATGAATAAGAAACTCATTACTTATCACATGTTATTGCTTAGAATGCTATAAGTTCAGACTCAGTGAGATCGAAGCTGATAAAAATCATCCATGCCATCCAAAGATAATACTCTAGAAAGCAAATTATCCAGGGGGATAGGTCTAAACTGATGCTCCTGTTATTGGTATTCTGGTGCAACCATACTTAAATAAGGATGATTCAGGGGATTCACACGATAATATCGATGATTTTTAAGGAACTTATATACCTTCAGCTCATGTTAAATTACTTGAGGCTGCAGGTGCCAGAATAATGCCTGTTAACTATAGAATGGATAAAAATGAATTGGGGAAACTCTTAAAGCAGTTAAATGGTATCTACATTCCTGGTGACTCTGAAAAAGTCCTCTCAAACAAAAAATACATGGCTTGTGTTGCACAAATTTTAACGTTTGCCTAAGATTTAAATGCTAAATCCATTTCTCACTTCCCTGTATTGGCTATCTCGTATGGCTATCTTGCTCTTATATAAGCATTATCCAAAGGAGATAGTAAAATCGAAGATATGCCAGAAGAATATGTTCAAAAATCAGTTTAAGTAAACTTGAAATATGATGTGCAAGATACATTCCTATACGATGGAAGAACTCATAAAGAAACTGAGGATATGCTAGATTAAATTTATTTCTTCAATGAGCTTGACGTCAACATTAAGCTTGAAAACTTCTTTACCAGCAGTTACAATCAAGTGAGAAAAATACTTGCTCCTATAGTAACCTATGATGATAATAGAAATAATCAAAATAGAGAATTCATAGCTGTTGTTGAAGGAGTAATTCTTCCTATATGGGGCATTGCTTTTAGCATTGAAAAAGTGATCTATAGCATCGACTTTGTACTTTTAGATAAGGTTGATCATAGTCAATATGCCGTACATGAAGCCCACAGAATCGCTAATTTCTTTGTTGATGAAGCAAAATTGAGTGGAAATACGTTTACTAACAGAAAGAAAGAGCAGAAAATGCTTATTCAAAATTTCTAAGCTAACCTTGCCTAGAGAGATATGATTCAAGAGAACGGAGACAACCATGTTGTCTAGATGTATCTGTTCGAATGAAAGAAATTTATATTGATCTTATAAAATGAATCATTGCTTATTAATAATTTTAAAGTCCTATTTTCCCTCTATAATCATAACTTGGGGTTTTGGGGTTTTGGGGTTTTGGGGTTTTGGGG